AACCCTGAGACTCCAAGGTCAGTGAACAGCACTTTCAGACGACATAAATGGCAGGTAGTAACAAAATAATGTACTCACATTTGTGTGTCTAATGCAGACTTTTTCAAGCATGCTGGCATATTTTCCTGCATCTCTGATATTTATCAAGTCTGCAAAAAGCTGCCCGGCTTCACACTTCTAAAAAGCTGCTCATGGCTACCTTTGTAAACAGCAGATCACGATTAAAAAAAAAAAACAACCTTTCTCAAGAATATCAAAAGCAGCTTGGGGCAAAAAAGAAATTGTTGCAGCTATCTGTAGTATAGATCAATAAGTGTGTAATGACGCATTGTCTGGTATTTCTTGTAAAAATATTAACACATCTGACAAATACAACGCCGATGAAGTGATTGCATTAGAGATTTCCTATTTTAGTTATTTTTCAAGCAAAAAAAAGAAAGAAAAGAGCAAACCATATTTTGGTCCTGTTTATGCAATGCAGAGTTGTGCCTATTTACTTAACTGTGATATGTTATAGTTAGGTTTCTGCCAGAAATGCTGTTAGACTTAATGGATGCTTCAGGGGGAGGAGAGAGTTTATAATTCAGTTCAATTTAATGCTGTATTTGCTATTCATATAATGCTATCCTCCCACTATAATGCTAATTGTTAATTGTGTGGTGGCACTGATAGAAGAGGAGCAGAGGGAAGGGGAACCAAGAGAGGCACTGGGAAAATATAAAGTCATTTGTATTTATACCAGCGGGATAGCACAGAATCATAACCTGGTACAGCTTTGAATGATTTAGTCTACCCTAATTAGTAGATAGATAGATATATGGATGGATATCAGCTGAACCGGTGAGGAAGATATTTAATTGTGAGATCCAGCTGGTCCTTTAATTTGTCTTTTTAAAAAAAAAAAAAAAAAAAATTGCGTAAAAACAACAGAAACAGTAAAGTAATACACATTAGCAAACAAAATGGCTGTAGCTCTTTAGCTAGGCTAGATGTCTGCTAGCTAGGCCTCAACTCAGCTAAGCTAAGCTGAACTGGACCATTTTATGGTGCTGGTGCCATCTGCAGCAGTTTGAAATAATTAAGCCATGACACAACTGTTCAATAATTCAGAGTTTGGTTTTGGCAGATTAAATTGTAGCATTCCAATTAGCACTAAGGACAACGCTTGGTACAATATGGGTTAGCGCTGCACTCACAAACAGTATAAAGTGCTGGTTTCTGCATGCCGTTCTGAAGTCTCAAGATAAACCATCCTACCATCACCAAGTTGGTTTCAAAAGACCAGATATGACGTGAAAGGAACAGTGAAACCACTGGCTCATTGGCTAATAACCTGTCAATCACAAGTTGATAACCACTGACCATATCCAGGGTAATCCACGTTTTTTAAAAACAGAGAATAATCAAAGCAAACCTCACACTATATTCAGTTTAACCGCAAATGAGTGAGTGAACCATAAACTCAGCAAGAACATTTTTACGGAGGCCAAGTCAGAAAGGGGTTTTTCCCACAGGTTTCTATAGCACCAAAAGTCTTTTTTGCAGCAATCACCATCTGTTGGCACTAGCACTGTTGGCAATGTTTCATATTGTTAGGATTCAGCTTGCCAACAGAGCTTTCCAGCCTTAGCAAATAACTTAGTAATCTACACGCAGGTCCAAATATGGTCACTTCTGGCTCCAAAAATTATTTAAAAATTGCTGACACTGAACCTCCAAAACAAGATGTGACAACACAGTTGATCTCCTAAAGAGAGTTCATGTACAGTAGCCCAATACAAAAATAACAAAGATTATGTAGTGTTGTGGATCATAGTCATTCATTTGGATTTTGACTAGAGTCAGCTATTCATTTATACTTTTGTTTGGTACTCAAATGTTTGAGCTTTTGCAATATTTGATTAATCAAGTGACTTATTAATGAGGATACTGACTGATAATAAAAATAAGAGTTAAATACTTTTTAAAGTATACACCAGGGATGGGCAAATCCAGGCCTCGAGTGCCGGTGTCCTGTCCTTCAGACATGTCCTTGATCCACCACAGCTGATTGAAATGCCTAAATTACCTTCTCAACAGGCTGCATTCTCCTGAGGACCCAGCCTTTGCGGTCTACGTGGGCTGGGTCCTCAGAAGGTCGGGTAGACCGGAAGTGAGCGGCTGTGAAATTGGATGGTCTAGCCTTCAGTTTTGCATCACCGCTGTCTCGGTGGAGCTTAATAAACTCAGCCGTCTGCTCCTTGCTATCTAAAATATAACAGGACACTGGTATAAATTCTCGAACATCTCAGACTTCTGTTTGGATGTGGATGTGGATAGCATTCCCAGAATATTTGGAGCTGTTATAGCTTCAATCATTTTAAACCCCATGGATTAAGAATGAGACGTCACTCTCAGCAATACACTGCATCTTTGTCTGCCCTACAGTTTACTGCTATTTAAAGACCAATATATATTCTGCTGATAATGGTAGCACTTTAGAGCATCAACCCAGTGCTGTAAAAAGTCTGATGTATAGGGTGAAATACACACAGAGTGTACACAAAGCACAGATAATAACAGTCACTGCGTCAGCTGTGGTTCTTTTTAACACCAACAAACTCCGACCAGCTTATACATCAGTTCATTAGGCACCTACTTACCATGAAAAGGCCACCATGACCACAAAACAACCCACCACCCACACTGTACCTATCTGTCTCTTCTCTCCAGCTAAACCTCCTACCTCTCCCTCCTCCACACACACACACACACACACACACACACCAACAGCATTCTGTTTAATCAAAATAGAGCTGCCCTTCAACGCATTTACATGTCTCATAATGGGGAAGAGTCGGTACGAAGCCTGTCATTACGCGCACCATTAAAACACAGCAGTAGACTAATCTAGCACTTCCATAAGCAACAGCAGCAGCAGCAGCAGGAGGAGGAGAAGCAGCAGAGGACGAGGGAGTGGAAGCTGACTGTGGATGGAGAAGGAAAAAAAAGCGAAAGCAGTCATTCGATGCATGGTTGGTTTAGCTGTTTGAAGGTTGGGAAAGCCGCAGTGGTGAGAACATGACAAGAAGGAGGAGGAAGAGGAGCAGCAGCAGCGAGAAGAAGAAGAACCAGGTAGGGATGTCAGAGGAGTGACATGAGCAGTCGGTGAAGTGTGAGAAAGAGCAGCAGGTGAAGGGAGAAGTGTTGCATAAACAGCAGGAGGAGGGACCAGCAAACAGGCTGAAACAGCAGGTGATGCCTGCTGGGAAGGAGACAGAGAAAGGAGCAAGAAGTCATGCTTGAGGAGGAAGGGGAAGGAACAGGAGAAGAAGAGAGGGGGAAAAGCAGGAGAAAAGGGAGGAACAAAGGCAAGGGGTCCATGGGTAGGAAGGGACACCAACAGAAAGAAAGGCTGAAAGACGAGCAGAGGAGGAACTCTTGAGGAGGAACATCAGGACTGTAATGAGAGGTGTGGAGAGGGGTAAAAGAAGTTCATGAAAACAACTAGAAGAGTGATGATGTGCAGTCTAGACGATGCTGGGATCCTTTAGGGCATAGGTGTCAAACTATGGCCCGCGGGCCAAATTTGGCCCGCAGCCTAATTACATTTGGCCCGCGAAGCCATACCAAATTACTATCAGAGCTGGCCTACTGGTATTATACAGCTAATATATATATTGTTTAGTATTAAGCTTTGCTTGTTCCATATTCAGTTTTTCAGCAAAACTTGTTTGAGTCCATAAGAAAAGATTCATTCTTAAATCTGGAGGAAGATATTTTTCAATAAACATTAACGTTAGCCCGCGACTTTGTTCCAGTTTTGAATTTTGGCCCACTGTGTATTTGAGTTTGACACCCCTGCTTTAGGGAAAATAGGTCATGTCTGGAGAGGACAAGCGGGAAAGCAAAGGATGAAGCCGAAGATGTTTTTTTGGGGTGTAGAAGAAATTGGATCTTTGGAAAAAGAAGGGGGAACAGGAGTAGATGGCGGGCGGTACTAAAATTATGCTGTTCAGAGAGGAGCACCAGCAGTGAGAGGTGCTGGAAGGGAAGTAAAAATAAGGAGCAGCGGGTGAGGCTTGTGGAGAAGGAGCAATAACAATGTGATGCCTGGCTTACAGGAGCAACAGGGGTTAGGGATAGAGGAGCAACGGGATGCTTTTGAGACGAGTTGCTAGAGATCGTACTTGGGAGAGGTTCACGGTAACACAAAAGAGGCATGAGGTGATGTTTGGAGGCGAGCGTGGGGAGATGGCGCTTCAGGCGGGGAAGCGGCAGGGAGGAGCAAGAGGTCACTGTAGGGGGGAGCAGCAGAAGGAACAGCGGGGGAGGTGGAAGCAGCTACAAGGAGCACCTGCAAGCTATAATTATGATTCACTTTGCTGCTCACAGGTGAGTGGTGGCCTGTGTGATAAAACAGCTACAACAGTGCACTCAGGAGGGAGAAACATGGTAATGTTTGATACTAAACAACACACATTTTTATAATATGGCAACAGACATTTATGGACCCTGTAAGAAACTTGATACAATTTATGCACGTGTCATGTACATAAAGGCAGTACTAAATGTGATTTATGTCCCTTTTCATTGCCTGGAAAGGCTGGATGTTTAAGGCTGTATAAAAGTAGAACATGGAATATATTAGAAGAGCACAAAGGGACTACTTTCTGTGTCATTTCGTGCATGCGTGCACAGCAATAACTGTCAGTATTCCCAATAAAGCACTAATTGGCCCACTGCTGAAAGGCAATTAGCGTTCATATTAAACCCCAAACACACCCAGCTCACCATGAAGGACCAGAAAACTTACTGTGGTAAAAATCCTCCATCAGTCTCAAGTTTCTTCCAAAAATGCATGGAGCTCTGCATAAAGTTAAATTCCAAATGTCTAAGGATAAGAAAGCTTAGCTGATGCTACATCTTCAAAAGTCTTCTGCTCAACCACTGTGCATAAATTAAATCACCCTGCGCCAGCTGTAGCACTCAAATAGATGCTCCCTGGTTTGCAAACCTACCTTCCACTGCATGCACTGAAGTAACCGTGAAGAGAACCAGAACAGCCCAAGTGGCCGGCATGGCCAGTCTGACTCCCTGTCCGTCCTCTCCCATTATCCTGCTAACAGAGAAGAGAGAAAAAATCCCCACTGGAACACGCTGTATTCCTCTGGTAAGCAGTCACATCGCAGTCTTCAGTCTGTGTGAGTGTGTGCTGAGCCGGCACAGCCAGCGAGTGCTGAAGGGGATACACTTCTTCTCCTCTCTCTCTCTCGCTCTCTCTCCCCCTATCTATCTCCCTCTCTTCTCACCGTCGCACACCTTTCCGTCCAATCAGGACAGAGAATGTTGCTCGTAAACCAATCACCCATTCTTTTCCACCTGACCCAAGATGAATGCCCAATGGTCAGGTCTCCCCTCCACTGCCTCCATCCCACAGCACGACGAGCTGGCGTGACGGGACAGCGGCACCCAGTGGTCAAGGATCAACACAGCAACTAACCAAACCTTGCAGTGACTGTGGTCCGGTGACAATGAATTGCTGAAGAGTCATTAGGATGGGATGTGAGCTGTGGTCTTTCTCAAGAGTCTTTAAGGATATTGCAGCAATAATGATGTTCGATCCTCCTGATAAAGCAGGAGAATCAATGCTTCTCAGCTATTGGTTCCCCAAGGTTTGGACTGAGACCGCTTGTTCCCTACACACGCACTCCACATTTCTTTTTATTTTGCTTTGAAGAAGCCACATCTTCTCATAAATTTAAAGTGTTCTGAAGAACTATTGCCGTTTTTCTTTAAACACTGGCTGCTTTTCCCCTCATTTTCAGTCCAGTCCTTGTACCTGACCATTTTCAGTTTGTTAAGCCACTCAACACTGACCTGTGAGCTATTCTGGCATTAAAAAGGCACCTAACTTACAGGATGGACCACTGATGTGTCTACACATTTTCCAAAGAGCTTTTAGAATATCTTGGCATGGTGTGCAGTGTATCCTTAAAAAAACTGAGGAAAGTGGAGGACAAAATAACAAATCTACTGTTCGCCTCATCAGAAACAGTCACAGTGAAAGGGTGGCTGAGGTGTGGCAAATTACACAGAAACTGGACTGGAAACTAGTGGCAACAGGTCCTATGGAGCAAAGAATATAAATGATACATTTTTGGTTTGAATCATCATCAACATATATGGAAGAGGTCAGGAGAAATGTTCCACAGTGAGTGTCTACAGCCATCTGTAAAACATGGTGGAGGCTCTGTCATGGCTTGGGGTTGCATTTCAGCCAGTGGCGTTGGTGACCTTCTCAAAATTGGTGGAATTATGAATGCAGAAAAATACGGTCAGATTTTGATTTATCAGGCAAAACCATCTGGAAAGCATCTGGTTAGAAACAGCTTCATTTTTCATCACGACAATGATCTCAGACACACTCATAAACTCATACCTGGATAGAAAAATAAACACAATCAATCACGGAGTGGCGTTCCTTCTTATTTTTGAAGCAGTGAAGGATCATCTTGACAGAGAATGGAACAAAAGGCAGTCAAGAAGAGCCAAATAAGAGCTTTGCATTATTTTTTTCTGGATTATGACAGTTAACCGTTTATATTTTTGTAGCATCACAATTTTAGAAGTTTCAGCCTCTGGGTTTGATGTTGTCCATATTCAAAAAGGGCCAAAGTTGTCACAAAACTATCTTGACTTTGTCTCAGAGGGGCAACGTAACCAGCAAGGTCAATCAAAACAGACTGGTCTCAGTAAGGGGCTTGATGGACATGCTTTTATATTTTGGTAAGGAAATTGGAAAGATGTCTTAGTAAAAGAGATTCTGCAAGTCTGATGCTGATACTGTGCATACTATAGTTAAAGGGCTTTCACAAAAGTCATACAGAAATGTATATTTTACACCTCAACACATGCTGTACACGCAACAATAAACCCCTATGTAGGTCTGTTTAGTTTCTGCAGACTTTCAGCCCAAGGCCTCCGGTAGAAAACAAAGTTGAGTGGTTTTCTGGTCTTTCACATCACTGGGAGAGACCTCGGGGTTAATTTGATACATGAAAACAGCCTTTGCAGTATTAGGAGAAAAAGCAAGGACTAGAGTGTGTGGCCTTGTGTTACAGGGGATAAAGAGGATTAAGTGAAAAACAACTACGGTTCACCTACACTGGTGTTTTCGCTTGTGTTGACTAATCAGACCTCTTTTCAGGACTATGTTGATGGACATTTCCCTAAATGTCCTCTTAGTGCCTTTTAAGGGTGAGATAACTGAATTTTTAAATAATCATTCTTACAAGTACACTTAATCTGCCAGAGTGAAAACATCTGTGTCTCTCTCTAAGCCGTATGTCCAGCTTTAACCCTTAGCAGATTTAAAGCATCGGGGACTGCCACACTGCTTTAAAAAAATGCAAATTGTCACAATATATTAATATTTTCAGTTCAGTTATTCGCATTTTTTAATCACCCTGGCAAAAAAAGACAACTCTCTAAAATAGGAAGCATTATTATGTTGTTTGGCTAACTGCAAAATCCTAAAAGGTGTACGTACTGACAAAATGCACTATGGAAAAAATAAAAATCACTCAGTGTTTCTGAAAAAATACAACTTTTCCACCCCAGAGGCATTGGATCAATTTGCTTTTTTAGGTTTCCTGTCTCCTTCATCCTGTGCCTCTTACACTGTCTCATACCGCTGTGACATTGCTGCACTTTTCTTCCCAGATGCTCTATTTCCTGTCCCTCAAGATGACATTTCAGCTGCCAGCAGCTTTATGACACACACCACAACCTACATGACAATCGCTTTCACTCAGGGGCTACTGCATCCTGTTCATATTGACCGCTATCCTAAAGAGCTGTGTATATGAGCGTGCATGTCAGTTAGAGGCAGACAAACAGAGGGAGACGCTTCTTATCTTAAAGTCAGCAGTTGGAGGCATTCATCATTTCCTTCCAGCCACAGGTGGAAACCCAAAAGTCGATTGCAGGTCTGCTGGCTGCCGCACGAGCAGAACAATAATGTTTGAATTGCCTCCGAAGGTTCTGGTTACTCTTTTAAAATTGTGCAGCTGAGGTCGCGCATCCCTTTGCTAAGAGGTATCTCCATCCTGAGGGACTCGGCGAGGTAAATAAGCTTTGATCAGGAACAGAGCAGTCAGGCACAGTGCTGAAAGTTGATTGGTGTACATGTCTAGACATAGCAGAGTGGAAATCAAAAGTGTGGTAGCAACATGCCGGTAAAGGTCTGCTCAGGTTCTCCTCTCACTTCTACATCATTCACAATTACACGACAGGAAACATTACAGTATAGATGAGTTATATAAAAACAGACAGATCTGTCCATCACACTCACAGTTTCACAGGATACTGACAGTGAGAAGTGAATTGTGAGGCATTCACACGCCGAAAAGTTCACCTTGGTTCAAAAACATAAACTTGCCGTGAACTTTCCGTTCGTTGGCCCTGCTTTTTCGTCTTGTCGTATCTGATCTGAAAACATCAGGAAAATGAATCATTCAGTAAATCAACACCCTTGACAGGCAGGATTGTCATCAGCCCCAGTTTCCTCCCAGCTGGACCAGATGATGCTTGTCGTGTCCTGTTACAAAGAGCTATATGTTTATTTATAGCTGTAGTGGAGCTCGCAAGTCGAGGCTTTAAATAGAAAGAGAACAAAATCATCCCAGATTTGATGTTCTTGATTAGAGTGGGATGATATCTGGGAGCGGATATGGCATCAGTGGAAACAGGGCCAGGCAGTGAGTCATCTGGTGGGCACAAAGCATCAGCCAAAAAAAAAAAGGTGCTCAGTCACATATTTGTTTTTACTTATTTTGTCATATTAATAGCTGCATAATATCAGAAGATTTTAATGCTTAGATCAAGAGAAATACCTCTATATAAAGTGTAGAAAAATACACCAAACAGCACTACTAAGGCTCATTTATTAACATTGTTTTGTTTTGGTTTCATACTACAGTTGTTGCCATCTTTGTTTTTCAGAAAAGAGGTTTCCATATTTCGAAAAGAGAGTGAAATCCTGGTTTTAGGTTGATAGTAGGTAGATTAATTAGCCTATTTCTGTGTATCAGGCAGTTACTGATACCTGCTTAGTGCTAAGTAACCTACAATTAAAACACTTGCATTTCACTCATAGACAGAGTAAATGATGGATGCAGCTTCTGGGTCTGAAGTGTGAAGTGCAGAAGTGCCTTAAATCTGCATTAGTTCTTAACCCACCAAGGGGCAATGGTTGTGGTTGGAAAAGACTTGTGGTCCTATACAAGTCTATGGGATAATTATTCTCTGCAAACGTGAGGTCTTTATTGTTCATCTTGGGTTATAAAGCATAAATCATTAAGTCAGATTTATGAGTTTTAATCATTCCAGGTGTCAGATCAGTTTATCCAGGAAATGCTTGTTGGCCACCAACTTACGATGAGTTAACTGGAGTGTGATTCAGTCAGATCTATCTTCACGTCACAGTGGCTACAGTGGTGTGAAAAAGTGTTTGCCCCCTTCCAAAATTACTATTTTTTTATATTTTTGTCACACTTAAATGTTTTAGATCATCAATATGTATGTATATTAGACAAAGATAACACAAGTAAACACAAAAATGCAGTTTCTAAATGTAGATGTTTACTATTAAGGGGGGGGAAAATCCAAACCAAAGTGTGAAAGTGATTGCTCCTCTGTTATAACATAAATTAACTGTGAAAAGCTTAGCTCAGTTTCTCTAGCCACACCCAGGCCTGCTCACTGCCACGCCTGTACTCAATCGAGAAATCATTTAAATAGGACCTGCCTGACAAAATGAAGTAGACTAAAAGATCCACAAAAGCCAGACATGCTTCTGCATGTGACGTGCTGCGATCCAAGGAAATTCAGGAACAAGTGAGAAACAAAGCAACTGAGATCTCTCAGTGTGGAAAAAGTTATAAATCCATTTCTAAAGCTGTGGGACTCCATAAACCACAGTGAGAGCCATTAACCACAAATGGCAAAAACATGGAACAGTGGTGAACCTGACCAAAATTACTCCAAGAGTGCAGCGAGGTCACAAGAGGTCACAAAACCCCCCAAAACAACATCCAAAGAGTTGCAGACCTCACTTGCTTCAGTTAAAGAGAGCATTCATGACTCCACCATAAGAAAGCCACTGGGCAAAATTAGCATGCATAGCAGAGTTGCAAGAGGAAAACCACTGCTGAGCAAAGAAACATGAATTCTCATCTTAGTTTTGCCAGAAAATTTCTTGATGATCCCTAAGACTTTTGGAAAAATACTGATGGGACTGATGAGACAAAAGTTCAAGTCAAAGTCCCGACCTGAATCCGATTGAGATGCTGTGGCATGACCTTAAAAAGGCGGTTCATACTCGAAAACCCTCCAGTGTGACTGCATTACAACAATTCTGCAAAGATGAGTGGGCCCTTCCTCCACAGTGCTTCATGAGACTCACTGCTAAGGGTGGCCCAACCAGTTATTAGGTTTGGGGGCAATCACTTTTCCACACATGGCCATGTAGGTTTGGATTTTTTTTCTCCCTTAATAATAAACACTTTCATTTAGAAACTGCATTTGGTGTTTACTTCTGTTATCTTTGTCTAATATTTACATTTGTTTGATCCTCTCAAACATTTAAGTGTGACAAACACAAAAAAACAGGAAAGCAGGAGGAAGCCAAACTTAATATTCAGGTTTCTTGCACGATGTAGAGTAAGTGGTTAGTGTTTTTAGACCAGTCTGTGAAACAACCACCACAGCAATCTGCTAGCAAAGCAATCACAAGGAGATTTTTGCCAATCAGTTGGGGAATATAGATTTTTCCCTAGACCTGTCTGAATTTTACTTTAGGAATCGTTTTCCAATAACCTCTCACAACCACTCAGGGGAATAGTCATTTTCCCCTCAATTTCCCCAGGACTGGTCTCTAGGCCTGGACAACTGGGGTCTTCACTTCATCCTACATCGTCACCCTGATTGTCACACATCCACAATGATGTCGTAGGGGTGCCTGCAAAACCTCAGTAAACCTATGGTTTAACTCAAACTGGAGCTCGTAATTATCAGATGGTTAGGAAAATTTACCACATTGAAATTTTTTTTTGCTGTAATTCCAAAAGGAACCAACAAACTGTAAAGTAACCTGTCAAAGTGCCCACACCCTTAACCATACATCGTTTTAAACTTTAATATAATTCAGAGCTTTATAAAAATGCATCCCTTGTAAAATGCCCTGAAAGTGGAATATATATAACGCTATAGAGGCTAAATAACTTTTTTTGTATCAGGCTGTTTATTTCTGATGTGACGTAGAGGATTTTAACACGAAAGTCCTTTTTTCCAGCCCTGAACTGGTTTAATGTTTGTGAAAAAAAAAAAAGAAACTAAAGTCTTGTTGATCAGCTCAGATAAGGTGCCACATAACACCCAGTTCCACTCTTAATAAATACTAAGTTAACTGGCTTTTGTCTGTAGCTTTACTTTTAAAAACACACTTGAATGTGTTATTAATGTTCTCATGAAGATCTCGAAGACTCTAGTTACATTTTGCCAAACTGCTGACCCATTTCTTCACATCAATGACAAAAAAAACCCACAGCTACAATCAAACAGAGTTTAATGAATGAAATGTGTGACTCGATACACTGATGTATAAAAAAACCCGGCTCAATACACAGAGTGAAAAATGTGTGTGTGTGTGTAACACATTTGCGTGAATCAGAAGTTCCATATGTAGCAGTATGGTGCTGCAGCTTGAAGACAGGCATGCCAAGTAAATGATCACCAGGCTAATGCACACACTATTTCACAAATATCCTGTATGTACAAAAGTTGCAGGAACTTTAAACCTTTTCTTTTCTTTCTGGTGCGTATGGAGTATAAAACCTGGTGAAGGGTTCTCACGTGTGTGTAATAAGCTTTGGTTTGATCGACCGTACATCAGCCTCAACACAGGCGAGCATTCCCCAAATGGTCCTCTCTGGACTTTATCTTCTCTGTGGAGTTTTGTGTGTGTGTATGTGTGTGTTTACTGCAAACAGATGTGTAACAATCGTGCGCATTCTCCTGTCTTCACAAAACAGAACTTAAGGAAACTGCTTGTGTGTGCTTGAGTCTAAGAGCGTCAACGAGGCTGCTCACTTCTTCACAGAGATCATGAGTTGTTATTAAAAAAACAAGAAGTGGTTGTTTCAGCTTTCTTCTGAAAGCCAATTTGAAATTGTTGGGTTTACAGTACAGCACATCTGATACATGACAGGGTTGTGATCAGTTATCTGCAATATTTCGAACAAATCCCACCGAGTCTGTCCGCTTAAAGCAGTGACACCAAGGCTTCTGGACGACGACATCACAGATTACGGGGAATTCATCGCCAGTAGAGTATTATACTGTACATTCATGACTCGATATGGTGCCAGCCTTTAAGCTAATGTACACGAACATTTACAGCGTACACAATGTTTGTTAAGGTAGACAACTCTGACTCAAGTAGTGAAATAACAAAAAATTAAATTAAAAAAACCCAGAAAAAACTTGTTTGTATATCAGGGCACCGAACATGTTTTCACAGGCCTCTGCAGCCTGCTGATTGGACACAATTAGACATCATTATCTTCATCAGAGTCTTCTTTGTCATCCCTTATTCGTCTGTCCTCATTCCAAAAACACGCTAGCAAGCTAAGACATATGTAAACGCAGTAAAATAAAGAATACAATCAGTTTTTGCTCTTCTGAGTCGATGAAAATGTCTTCTCATTCCACAAATGTCTCCTTTATTTATTTTTTAATGGTTTTTTTGTTGTTGTTTTTTTTTTTGTTTTGGCAAAGTTACTTCCTCAAGCTGAACCCCCGTTTGTCCTTCCCATGGTTCAGCCCTGCCTTTGACTTCAAACTCTTGACCGAAGGCGGCGGTGGTCCATCATCGCTGAAGCAGCAGCAGAAGGGTCGCCGGGAGCAGGAGCAGCAGGCTACAGAAGCCGGTTTGGAACGCGGCCGCGCCTCTGACTCGGTTGTTGTCCGGCGAGTAGGCATACAATCCCGGTCTGCTACGAGGACACTGGCCACCTACACACATACCGCTTCCAGAGCCGCTGATGTCATCACCTGGAAAAGAGAGCGATACGGATAGAACACTGTTAACGGTAAACTGTGAAATAATTCTTTAAAGACCAGTGGAAACTAGCTTTTTTTTGTTAAATGTCACCTTCAGCTGCTCTTGATAATTGGCCCAATTGTATTTGGGTCCGTGTGACATTCCTGAATGCAATTAATCTTTTAATTACACCATTTATAGGGAATATTTTGTCCTTAAATCCCAAGTCTCATTAACTCTAGGGAATAAGACCCCCGAAACAAGAGAGCTGGTGCATTTGATCTACTTGCAGAATCAGTATGATATAAAACAACTATTTCTGGAATCTACTTTTACCAGAAGATGACTCACTTGCATCCTGGAAGTCTACATCATTGCCATCCAGTGCATTTTTCAGCCTGTTGCTCATAATTTTGAGCTGCATGATCTGCTGCCGGATGGTCATGTCTGGCTTTGTGATGTCGAGCTCCACTTCTGGGTTGTTGATCTGATTGGCCAAACCATCGCCCATCACTTCTGGAAGGTACCTAATTGGCCATGAGAAGCGACAGGAATAGAAGCATGATGCTCATGGCTTAAATCACTGCCTTATGACTGTCACATTATCGCTGATGACAGAGCTTGTGTGTGCTCAGCGGACTGTGAGGCATCAATATTTGGTTTTATGGGCACTTCCTAGCTTATCTTAGCCTTCGGGGTTTTCTCAAATGCAGTTAATTACTATTAAATTAAATTTTGTTTTTTTTCTATAGCACCAAATCACAGCAACAGTCACCTCAAATAACTTTGTATTGAAAGGTAAAGACCCTACAACAATACAGAGAGAACCCCAACAGCCTGACGAATCTTAGTAGAGGGAATTCGCGCAGCTATATTAGGTGGCCTTTGTGGTGTTAAAAGCACAGTCGTGCAGCCTGTGGTTGTGCAAAACAAGTACTTGTGAGTATCCTCAACTGGAAAATACAATACCTAATCCCAAAGCTTTAAGAAATGGGCACCAGTGGATAGTAAAATCAGTGCTGCAGAAGAAAAAAATCCCCCCGTTCCGCCTTTTTTAAAAAATATATAATGATATAATTTTTATTTATTATATTTTTAAAGTATTTCATCCAGCAAGACACTGCTTGAGAAACATTAAAAGTCGTGAGGAGTGCTGTGTTTGAAAAACTATTACATAAACCCTCTGTGACTCCTGATGGAGCTGTGCAAAGTCTGGTTGTGTAATTCGCCTTCTGACTTACACCCCTTTCAGACTGACACCTATGCTGCTGTGTCAGCCACCCCAGCTATGTCAGGAGTAAGCATCTCTTTTCAATTGTGGGCCAGTGTTTTTAGCATTGATCATCAGGGCTTAGTTTTTCCAGACATGGATTATGCCTAATCCCAGACCAAATACTTTTTCCAATCAGGATCTTCAAGTCTAGAAATCTGTGCCTGGGAAACCAGCCGAAAAAGCTCAACATGTCCCGGTGCAATGGACGAGCAGGGGTGTGATTTTGTTTAACTTTCTGTTGTAATTAAATAATAAAATGTAGGCATAAATAAGACAAAGTATGCTATGGCAAAGAACTTATTATGCAAACAAGAAACTAAAACTTCATTTTGTCTCAGACAGCCAAATATCTTTGCAGGCGCGTGAGGTCTGAGTCACTATATGCCTACCATTCACTTTTGCATAGGCCTAAAACTCTCTTTCAGCCAATATATTCAGGTATTTTTCTTTATGAAAAGACTCAAACAAGGCAAATTTACAAATAAAACACAATTTCATTAAAAGGTAAAAACAAACAGTTGCCAGTTTGTTTACATGTTTCAGCCTAAAGCCGCTCTACGCCCATCCAAAAACTCCTCTCCACAGCTTCCTATCACGGCTACCCTGTAAGTGGAGACAGCTGTGCTCTGGCTCCACAGGAGACCGGGGGCGCGGTCGAATAGTCAATTCTGCTTAGGAAGGTCTCTAACTGAAGCGACCCAGAGGTATCTGCATGGCAGCCATAATAAGAGCCGTTCGAATTCTCTAAATACTTAGAAAAGGTCATTCGATGCTTCATTATCACCTCCTCCAGCATAGGACAAACTGCACCATCCTTTATGAAAGGAAAGGAGATAATGAGATCCCATAACTCATAGCTACTCACCATCCGACCATTAAATGATTTAAAATAAACTGACAAAGTGACGCAGATCATGCAAATATTAACTATGAGTGTTCCCCAATTTACAGCCTGCCGATTTGTTTAGAATTTTCAACAGCAGGCTGCTAAACCCACAGCTGCTGTAACAGGATCTACTTCTCATCAAGCTATCGCCTTATGTGAAGAACATACTGTGGATTTATATTAGCTCTCTAAATCAAGATTACGCGCTATATTAATTGATCGTTGTGTTTAATGTTAGCTATAGTTCACTTTGCATTAGTTATATCCGCTGTAGCCAGAATCCCCAGACTTTAGGATCATCATTAAAGTAATTTATGACACACACACACACACACACACACAGGACTCTGAATTGGATAAGTGATGGATGGGGGGAATTTTTCCTCATTTATAGACAGGCTTACAAAAAAGGAGGAAATGATGTGGTGAAGTATGTCATGATCAAGGATCAGCTGCCAGTTTGTTTACATGTTTGGCATCTCCCACTACTGTATATATGGGTGTGTCCTCCCCCCAGGTGTTTCTGTCTCTGGGTGAGAAAGGTGTGAGAGGTCCCGGGTTCAAGCTCCCAATTCATGTTACGTGCCCTAGCCTTCGGGGTAACTTAAACACAACATGAGACGCGACTCCCAAGAAAAGACGGGCACCCTGACAACCAAAGACGCTAAGCAGGAATTTATTTGCTTCACCAAAACAACAAACCAATGTTTCCTGCTCTCCCCTGACCAAAAATAAAAAGGCAAACAGAAGACAATGTTCTAGTCTATGCTCCTAACAGATAAACACGCCACGATACCAGCAATACAAATGAGCTCACGCTGTTCACTAAAGGATTTAAGTTCAGGATTCTCACACAAGCACTCAAAGCTACGAGCAACTGGCTGGCTCAAGGAGAGATGCAAGGTGGCTGTCAGCTGGAGGCTAAGAGGCTGCTGTCCACTCAATTAGCAGTCGCTACATGTCTCTGCCAACACACACCTTGGAGGAAGGAGAAGGAAAAAAAAAACACAGTCCCACTCATACTCTGATGGGAGGAGCCAAACGCGTAAACAACATGGCACATAACAAGTAAGATGCACGTGTTGTTTTCCCTCTTTTGGACAGTGTGGTTCACAACTTTCTTTCTTCATGACATTTTCCACTAGAGTCAAAGAACAATGTGTAGTAGAAGGAGGAAGCAGGTCCTTTTTTTGACTATTTGACTGCACCCCAGGGGTGGAAGCAGGACACACCCACAGAACCAAAGATAGATGGAGTCTGATTATTCAAGACCTTGTATGTGAGGAGAAGGAATTTGTTGTTGCAATTTGAGCACCACGACACAATCCTACTGCAAGAAGATGTGTGATAATGCCGAGTTATTGTTTCCACAGGATTTCTGTTGTAATTCTGCGTCTGATATCTATTGAGCTCCACAGAAAACCACAAGATGTCACTGCAAAGCTGCAAGCGAGCATTAATGGCATATTCTTTATCACACACAGTCACACACAGTCAGCAATTCATCTTTATTTCATGGCCTCTTTCACATTATTCACACACACAGAGGCACAGCACATATTTGATGTTTAGTTGGACCTAATCCAAGCACTTTAAAGAAAGGGAGGTGCGAATGCGTGTGTGCGTGTGAAGCGTGGCTGGATCATCAGATTGTTCTCTAATCCATTTGCACATGGATTAAGGGAGGCAGAAAAACACACAGGGGTGTGTTCTTTTGTTTCCATGAATACCTGTGTCGCAGGATGTGGATTTCTGCTGGGATTTGGAATCACTGTATGTGGAAGAGATGTAAGTTCGCCACCTTGGAACTGATGCCTGCTTTGTTTTGACACGGGTGCAACAAATGGCTTTCAACGTGAAGAGGAGGCCTGTGTCTAGCAGCTTCATCAGAAGCTGGATGTTTGGCTTTCTTCCTCCGTTTCCCGCTTCTCTTTAGAAGCATTTTCCAGTTTTTAAGTATTAAAAAGAAGTGTTCTCTTTGGAATGAAACTTCACTCAACAGTCATTGTTGGGATGAAGGTGGGAAGGGTCTCCGGGAGGACTCGGATGTCTAACTGCCTTCCTGCCTTTCAGTAACAAGTGCACGTGGGATTAAGGATTGCAGTCAAAAACAACAAAAACCTAAAAAGAAAAAGTACACACAAAACAGACTATGAACTTTTGTCTTCTTCTTTCACTTAATAGCTTGAGGGGTTGCCACCACAGATCATTTGCCTTCATCTCACCCTAACCTCCATCATCCTCCTCTGGCACATCAACCCTCTGCATGTCCTCCTTCACTACATCCCTGAACTTTCTCTGTGGTCTTCCTCTTTTCCTCTTGCTTGGCACTTCCATATTCAGCATCATTTCTCTGATATATCTGCGCATGTCCAGACTAACTCAGCCTAACTTTGTCTCCAAACCCCTCAAACTGAGATGCCCCTCTGAAGTACTCATTTGTCCATCCTGGTAGTTCACAACCAAATATCTTCAGCTCTGCCACCTGCAGCTCGGCTTCCTGTTTTCTTGTCAGTCTCACTGTCTCCAAGATAGTCTCACTGTCATCTTGTAAGCCTTCCCTTTCACTCTTGCTTCTGTCTTTCTGTCACAAATCAGCCCTCATACTCATCTGCACCCACTTTATCCTGCCTGCACTCTCTTCTTCACTTCCCTTGTGCGCCATCTGCTTTGCATGGTCGAACCCAGGTATCTAAACTCATCTACTGTCACGACCTCTGCTCCTTCTATGTTCACCTTTCCACCTGTCTCTCTCTCTCATTCACACGCATGTATTCTTCTGAATTTCATTCCTCTTCTCTCCAGTGCATAGCCCCACCTCTCCAGAGTCTCTTCCACCTCTTCAGTGTCGTCTGCAAACATCATAGTCCACAGAGACTCCTGTGTGATCACATCTGTATAAGCCAAAAGCCCAGACTTCCAGCCTACTTAAAACACTCCATTTTATTTCTATTCTCAGCTCTGACAGACGGTGACAAGGGTCATATGATCATCTTAGACACACAGCTCTGGTTGTGAGCACAGCAGCTCCACTCATCTGCTGTCCACATCTTTTCTTTAAGAGGGGAGCAAAACCAATCTGCAGAAGCTGGCTTAAAGGAAGAAGAGTGTGGATTAACTGAGGGGCTGCACCATGGTCCTGTGTACTATATTAAGGGATTATTTTGATATGTGAATCATACAAAGCTGCTCTAGCAAAGTGCATGAATAAAAACATTTCAAATAAGAATAACAGCCCCACATTAATGCTGAGGATAAATGTAGGGGGGTTAAGTAATAATCTTTATATGATGTATAGATAAGTAAACAGAGAAAAACACATAAGAGGTTAGGTTCAGGCTTGTTTTTAAAATCAACATTAATACGCACATTTCCTGCTTTTTTCCCCTACCTGGCTTTAGTGATACCATTCCAGCATTTGTCCTGACTGTTGCCTCCAGGTGCCAGTTTGCCACATAGTGCCAAAGAAAGCTGAATCCAGTACTGACGCATCTCCCTCAGCTTACTGGATAGATCCGATACCTAACAACAAAGACTTGTCAGTTTCCAAGTCATTGCATTTAATCACACACTTAATATGCTGTCAGAGTGCAAACAGTCTTTACAAACAATGCATAAAGTGACAATCTGCGATGGAGTCTCACTCTTAAAAGCCATGCAAACACCGATAAAAGAAATCCTGCTGAGCTCTTCAGCCGGCCGTTTGCGCTTACATCCATGAAAATCCACTGATGCTTGCTGTCGTTAAGTATGTAATCATTATTTTTAAGGCACACCACACACAGGTAGATGTATGCACCTGCATTTCAAGTCTGAGTCCAGCAGTCGGGGAGGGTTTGTACTCGG